ATTTCATTTTCCACCGATTTCAAGTTTCAAGCTTCGGCACTCAGCCACTGGTCGGTAGTCAATATAGGCAAATGGTAATGAAAAATGAAAGTTGTTATTACGCTTAACTTCCTTACCGAAGGTTGTAGTCCGAGTCTAGGGGAGTGTATTGGTAGTCTTTTCTTGTCCATCAGTTATCATTTAACTGAGATATAAGCTAAAGAAATCTGAAACATCGGCAATAATGAAAAATGAAAGTTATTATTATGTTTAAGTTCCTGAACAAAAGTTGTAGTCCAAGCCAAGGTGAGTGTATTGGTAGTTTTTTCTTGTCAATTGGTTATCTCATTACTCGGTACTCGGTACAAGGGAATCAGTACTCAGTATTTGGTTCTGATACTCGATACCCGAGAATCAGTAGTTGGGTACTCGGTACTCGGTTCTGATACTTGGTACCCGAGAATCAGTAGTCAGGTACTCAGTACTTGGTTCTAATTCTCGGTACCTGTGAATCAATAGTTGGGTACTCCAGCCAATAGTCCCGAGTCCCGAGTACTGATACTTGGTATTTGGTAGTCAGGTTTGGAACTTGGGTCTTGGTTTGGTTATCATTTGACTGAGATATTGGTAGGCAATATTGGCACTCGGAGCTCGAATACTGACTATCAACTATCAAGTGTCGGGACTTGGTAATCGGTAGTTGAGACTTGGTGCTTAAATGGATATTGCATATATACATAAAAATACAAAATATGTTCCTATGTGTTCATTTCTAGGTGAATAGACTTTGAAATTATATCTCAATCATCTATTCAACAATAGAAACAATGTATCAGGAGCTCAGGACCATAGGGTAATCCTTTATTGTATAGTGTACCTCCCCCTCTTCTGGTGGTTCACCTGCTGGGGTTTTTTCCCTGTAGGACTGGACCTCAAGGACTGTAAGGAGTCTATTCCTGAGCATATTCAGAGTAGATATATCATATAACCAGCCCAGGACACACAGGATCCTTTTCCAGGAACAAAGCATAGACAATTGCACTTGTGACATTTTTTCACGATTTTCAGTATCTTGCCCTTGCATCCATGATCCAACCTTTTAATATATAATGAGCATAGCTTATATTCTTGCTTCTTATGACCAAGATCAGCTCACAATAGGCTGGAGTTTGTGAGCTAGTGTGTATACTTGCCATTTCGCCTGATAAGGGGCCCATGCCTTCAAAATATTGAATCTTCATAATCAAAAACCTGGGGTACATTTCAAATATCTTAAGTATCATAGACATAAATTTACAGACAAATCAACCAAGAATTGAGTACTGAGGAAGTGAAATGGGTAAGAAATTGAGTGTGGGAAACTTCAAAGACCCAAAGCATCGAAAATGGTTAGTTGAGCAGTGGTAGGACTTTAATGCTGGGTCAACTCATATTTTCACTATATCCCTTCTACCCACCCCCTACCCTCAGGGCAGTAGGCAGTATGGGTTCCTTGGGTAGTTTACGATCTATCCTACATATTTGTAATGATATTTTCGGCCTGAATCATATATAAATGTGACTTTGTATAAAAGATGTCTATTGTCACTCTCCACACATATGTCATTTTGCCTATCATTACATCAATCCTTCATGAATCTTTCTAAGCTTTTAAGCTATTATGATGGATGTATATGGGTGTTATTCCAGGTCTCTGATCACATCACAGGCTTGTTATGTTGGATATCTCGACATAATGCACACCAGGTTTCGAGTTTTGGGTTTCGGCACTTGAAACTCAGTGATTTGTGCAACAAGTGAAAAATGGAAATGTTATATACATATTTTCGGGTCTCGGGCTTCGGGTTTTGGCACTTGGCACTCAGCACTTGGTTATTTGTGTGATATAAATAAAAAACCAACATGTTGCACACTGGGTTTCAAGTTTCACGCTTTGGCACTTGAAACTCGGTGATTTGTGCAGTGAGTGAAAAATGAACATGTTGTGTACATATTTTCGGGTCTCAGCCCTCGGCACTCGGAACTCGATGATTTGTGTGATATAAATGAAAAATCAACATGTTGCACACTGGGTTTTAAGTTTCATGCTTTGGCAGAACTCGAAGCTGTTGATTTAGATATCACCTGAAACCCGAACACCTGAATGTCAAATTTTCAGTGCTGAACCCCGAACCCCGAGTGCCGGTGCTGAGTGCCGAGTCCCGAAGTTCGGAACTCAGGATTTGACATTTGAGACGAATGAAATTTTTCAGACATGTTTGAATTAACCTATGTATATCTATAAACATTTCACTAACCCCCGAACCCCGAAAGATATGTTTGTTGTCTTACATACCGAGTTCTGAGTTCCGGGACCCCTGAACCCCGAAACCCGGCAGTCCACAATTTCGGGGTTCGGGGGTTGGTAAAATGTGTATGGATATATGAAAGGTTGATTTAAAACCCCCAAACCCCGAAATTGTGGACTGTGTGCAGTGAGCGAAAAATGGACATGTTGTGCACATATTTTCGGGGTTTGGGGTTCGGGTTTCGGCCCTCGGAACTCAATGACTTGTGTAATATAATTGAAAAATGGACATGTTGCACACCCGGTTTTGAGTTTTGGGTTTCGGCACTTGAAACTCGGTGATTTGTGCAACAAGTGAAAAATGGAAATGTTGCATACATATTTTCGGGTCTCGGGCTTCGGGTCTCGGCCCTCGGCACTCGGACCTCGATGATCTGTGTAATATAAATGAAAAATCAACATGTTGCATGCCAGGTTTCAAGTTTCAGGTTTTGGCACTCAAAACTCGGTGATTTGTGCAACAAGTGAAAAATGGACATGTTGCGCACATATTTTCGGGGTTCGGGGTTCGGGTCTCGGCCCTCGGCACTCGGAACTCGATGATTTGTGTGATATAAATGAAAAATCAACATGTTGCACACTGGGTTTCAAGTTTCACGCTTTGGCACTCGAAACTCGGTGATTTGTGCAGTGAGTGAAAAATGGACATGTTGTGTACATATTTTCGGGTCTCAAGCTTCGGGTTTTGGCACTCGGCACTCGGAACTCGATGATCTGTGTAATGTAAATGAACAATGAACATATTGCACACCCGGTTTTGAGTTTTGAGTTTCGGCACTTGAAACTCAGTGATTTGTGCAACAAGTGAAAAATGGAAATGTTGCATACATATTTTCGGGTCTCGGGCTTCGGGTTTCGGCACTTGGCACTTGGCACTTGGTTATTTGTGTGATATAAATGAAAAATCAACATGTTGCACACTGGGTTTCAAGTTTCATGCTTTGGCACTCGAAACTCGGTGATTTGTGCAGTGAGTGAAAAATGGACATGTTGCGCACATATTTTCGGGGTCCGGGGTTTGGATTTCGGCCCTCGGCCCTCGGAACTCGATGACTTGTGTAATATAATTGAACAATGGACATGATGCACACTGGGTTTCGAGTTTCGGGTTTCGGCACTCGAAACTCGGTGATATGTGCAATGAGTAAGAAATGGACATGTTCCATACATATTTTCAGGTTTCGGCACTCAACACTTGGAACTCAATGATCTGTGTAATGTAAATGAACAATCGACGTGTTGCACACCGGGTTTCGAGTTTTGGGTTTTGGCACTCGAAACTCGGTGATTTGTGCAGTGAGTGAAAAATGGACATGTTGAACAATGGGTTTCAGGGTCTCGGGTTTGAAAAATAGCATAATAACAACTTTCATGTTTTCATTATCATTTGCCTATATTGACTACCGAGTCCGATAAGGGACCCCTTGGATGATCCATTGCTCAATGAAATACTACCTGATTGGAAGTGTGCTGGTTATCAGATATTCATTTGTCGACTCCCGGGTCCTGGAACTCAGAAGTCGGTATGGTTGACCCAAATTTGGGTGGTCGGAACTTGGCGTCTCGTAGGGCAACACAAGCTTCGCACCCCGGATTCCAAATTCTGCAAGACAACCTGTGCACCATCAAAGGCCATGTCAGGAGATCACCTGCTGCTCCGGGAACTCGGTAACTTTGATTTATTACCTCCTCTGAGTACGGTTGACCCAAAGGTTGGTAATCGGAACTTGGCTTCTCGTAGGGCAACACAAGCTTCGCACCCCGGATTCCAAATTTTGCAAGACAACCTGTGCACCATCAAAGGCCATGTCAGGAGATCACCTGCTGCTCCGGGAACTTGGTAACTTTGATTTATTACCTCCTCTGATTTGGTTGATGTACAACTACCTCAGCTCTATCATGTCTACAATTATGATACACATGGGCCCACCCATCTATATTTTATACCACCCTCGGCCCACCCATCTAATACAACATCCCATACAACACCCTTGGCCCACCCATCTAATTAATATGCGTCTGGGCCTACCCGTCTAATACAATATTTTATAATACCCTCGGCCCACCTGTCTAATTTAATATGTGTCTGGGCCCACCCGTGAATGTGATAACAAGTACCTACCCATCTATCTCATACACATCTACCTTAATACACCCATCTGCATAATATCCAACTACCTTGGCCCACCCGTCTACCTAATATTCATATACATCGGCCCACTCATCTACTCTATATATTCCCTGCATGGGCCCACCCAACTCCATCAGGAATAATTTGCCTCCCAGCCCATCCGTCATAGTCGAGGATATTTTTATTATGGGCCCATGGTCCGCTGGCCCGTATCATATGGGATATTATGCATGTCCGTTCCCTCGTATTATACGGAGATAGGTCACTGTAATATGTGGTCAATGTTAGGTCAGCCTAACGATCAATGCAAGTAGGATACACACCGAGCCATGTCAAGCAGATTACCACGAATTCTATCCAGTAATTTGTAGGGAGCAGTGCGCTCCTCAAACCACTGCAAGGAGTCAAGATGTGCAAGGTAGACCAGACCATAAGACACCGAGGAGAATTTAATGTCTTCCCTGACTCCAGTGGTCCACTCGTCGACACAACATTCCATCTGTCAGATGTTAGCTGCTGCCAACCATCAGACATCTCCAAAGTACTCACCACTGTGAGTACCAGCGCCATCACTTTCACAGGTAAAGGATCGAAGTATTTAGCATAGAGTATACCTTCGTCACTGCGATTTGCAAACCACATATCATTAATTGCTTTCTGGATTAATTCCGTTTTGTATATGCTGGATTTCAACTCCCAATCCTTTCACTCGCACAGTCAGACATTGCCTAATGAGGGTCAAGATGACATACCTTAAAAACAAATGAATTCCCTTCCTTCAATGACTCGGCCAAGTCATGGTTTGCCTTAATAGCCACCATTGAACGGCTGGCCCAGAAGCCAAAAAATGATGCTGTGAGAGCATGCATCTTTGTTTTGAGCTCCCTGCGCACATGGGACGTGCGCCTCGTTATCTATGCCATCACAAAACATCAAACAAGGTCAGGATGAGAACCTAACAGAGTGCTTACCATTTTCACCAATGAAGGCGTGAGTTGGATGGTAAGTCCAGTAATATCAGATGCCTCATGCCAAGCACGTTTCACTAGCTTGGTTTCGACCAAGAGTGTATCGGGAAAAGGTGCCCGAGTGACGACAAGACAGCGGTAAACAGATGAGCCCCTTCAGTGACCAATTCCGTATTATACGGGCCACCCGACCTACATAATATCCTGTATCAGACGGGCCAGCGGACCATGGGCCCATGTTGTGCATCACCAAAACTCCACAACCTAGATATGGGAAGATAAGGTCATATCACGAGTCGGAATGTACCAGCAGATACAACAGGCACAGAAGGTACCAGCAGCTCCAGAGCACCAAAACAAAGTCTTATATAGGAACTCGTTTTTCAGCACTGGTCGATCATGATGACAATTTTCTGTCATGTGCCCGATCATTTGATGGATGAAAAGCCGCATGCTGTAGTCCTTAGCACCTGCTAGTACTTGCTGGCGCCTTATCACACCTCACCAGACTGTTCGTGTTGTATAAGCACATATCATCATTGCAGTACCGTACAAGCATGTAGTAGACAGACAAATTTGAGCACAAAGGAAACATGTGTGAGATACAGGTATGTGTGATGCAACATGAAAACGACCAGTGCAATTGCGAGTGAGAGTCTGTCCAGTAGTCGTGCATCATTAACGAAAAATGCTGAGTCCGTTTGAAGCTGTGATGCGATGATAGCGAGAGAAACAGGAATATGATGCCGTGGTGCTAAAAACCACATAGTCAGTCAAATATACCCAAGGGACATCAAGCACGTACTAAAGTCTATTTCCGGCCCTTGCGTTTCCTCTTGCTGGTGGTGGTGGTGGTGGTGGTAGCCTTGCCCTTGCCCTTCTTGGTGCGCTTCGACGGGGCAGGGACATCTGAATCATTTTCTGTCAGTGAGCTCTCATCATTGGACTCCATCACATTAGTCCTGCCACGCTTCTTAGACGTTCGGGTGCCAGTGCCTGAGCCAGATGGGACGGGAGCCAAAGGGAGGGTGTGAGACAGTGCATCGCTAGTGCCTGAACCCGATGGGATGGGTGCCAAAGGGTTGGTGCGAGGCGGAGCTCCAGCATCCACATTCGGAGTCACCACCTGCTGCTGAGAAGTTGGTATGATAGGACATGGCTTGGGGATGGCTTTTGCTGGAACAGGTGCAGGTTCTTCAAAGGGAGGCGGCGTAGTGGCAGGAGTCGAAGCCATATTGATCACAGATGTATCAGAGCCAGGATCGGAAGGTAGGGTACTACCTTGCGCATCTGAAGATACGGACTGAAATAGACATTAGCAAAATATCATTTTTAAAAAATAACGAACCTTAAGTCGCGCTTCGCGACTTGCAAACTGTTTTCGCATGCTGATCAAATCATCTTCTTCCTCGTTGTCATCATCGCTAACGTCAAAGACCGGTATACCCGCCTTGTCGCCAAACACAGACCTTTGCGAGAACTCAGCAACGTGTGACAGATCAATGCAAATAATACATACATATTCCACCACTCAAGTAATGAATCCGCCCATGTCTGATCGAATGGCTCTTGGATGGCTCGGATGATTCGGTAGTAGGCCTCGTGATAGTCGTATTTACCGTCCATAGCTTGCCATTTGTCACGCGATGAAATACTGAAACGGCACTGAAAATTGAGTTGTAAGATGTGTTAAAGAGATGTTTAAAGACGTATACCTGGACGAATGTATAGGCCACATGTTCAGCATCCACCTTCAGCATGTTGTGAAGCTTCGCGTTACCAGAGCGAGTTGTAACAACCTCTCCATCATTGGCCAGAGCGGAGGAAGGGCCCTTGAATATGTGCCGAAAGACCTATGGTAGAGTTAAGAGAGCGTCAGGAAAACAAAACATTAAGTGACATACCCGTTTCATAAGATAGCCTTTGAAAAGGCCATTCTGCATATCAAGCGGATTGAAATTCTCTCCAGGTGAGTCGCCCTCATATGCAAATGCAGGCCATGCAGCTGCATGCATCTTGATATGCCCACTTTGCAACTCTCCCTGAATCCTGAACAATAGTGAGAAAGGCAATACACTGAGTAGATACTATATACATACTTCTTGGGATTCTTGCAATAGGCCACAAGGTGTTTGATCGGACAGAGCATGCCGGCGAGTTGGGGATGATTCACGCCCATCATAGCACGTGACCTCTGGTTGTCAGAGTAAATCGCAGGTGTCAGTGGGTGGTTTACAGCGTCTAGGGCCGCATAGCGCCCTATATAAGGCTTGAGTTGCGTCTTCAGAGCAGATTTGCCCGATGATGTCCTGCATCTTCTCATGGAGTTAGCACTGACAATTCTGCAGAGTTAGTTTGCGCACCTCCGATAATATATGTCCCAGCTCCTTTCGATGCTTCTTTGTGTTTCCCTTAACAAGGGTGCGGAGGTAGGGCGCGCTTGTGAGGATCCTTTTGTAGGTCCTCAAGGAACGCTCTTGTACATCTTTTTTCCTGCGAAAGTGTTATCTATGATGAGAAAGCAAACTCCGGACTTACACATGTTCAAGGGTCTCCTGGCGCTCCTTCTTGGCAGCATCATCCTCGATCAAAGTTCCGTCCTTGGCAGATTCTTCCTGCTCAAGGAGCATACCGATTCTAAAAGTGTCCTTGAGGACAACATACATGTCGATTGCACGTGGAATCCAACATGCAACGTGCAGGCATTGGTCCCTAGTAATACATCATTATGAATTCAAATAACTAAATGAAAATGAAAATACCTCTTGCTATCACGACTCCTATTTGGTTTTCTGTGAATATATGCGATGTTAATGGTAATGATCTGATCGGGTAATGCTCAGAACCTACTTCAACGATTTTTTCTGAGGCTGTTTGCCTTTATCAGAAGCCTTTTGCGCCTTACTTTTGATGATCGGAGTTGGAGATGAATGTGAGGACTCATTTCCAGAGAGAGAAGAGTCGAAGTCGCTACTGTCTTCGGATGCACTGCTCCATATGGCGCGTCGTTTCTGAGGCATGATACTACGATAGAACTTGTTACAAATGTTGATATGGTTGTTGATTATGGGGAGAGCAAGATCAAGATTAATCGTCCGACATCGAAATATCCTTGAGGTCATTGTTTATGTTTGTTGTTTTGGAGCTTGAATCTGATCAATCTGTGCTGCATGTGCTGCATGTGCAAGTTCATATCCTGATTCCTATGATCTTGATCGTATTCATATCATCCATGTGCTAATAGTAAGTTCTGAGTCCTGACTACCTTGTCATCCTAATTCCAGATAGGTTTGTATTTGAACACCTCGGTACAGGACAAGCTGCTGCCTATGTAGGGATTTGAGGATTCAGAGGACCGGAAGTTTGGAAGAAAGGCTTGTGAACGTGAGTCCCTCCTTTTCTTATTTGTTAACACACCAAACTAATCTGCCGTATCTCTCTTAGATTCGTATTATGATATCCTCGCATGTAATCATAAGTACATTGTGTTAATTTGACTTTACCTTCTGTGCTTTACTGTGTGGATTGATCACAAGAACCAAGGTCATAGTGAGTGATATAAAGTGCGCTCTGATATCTTACTTGCAGAACCACACTTCTCCAATGCCAGACTTGACATGTCTGGGCTGCGGTAAACCTTTTCCTACCCAGAAACAACTATCTGCGCATGGTTCATGATGCTCAAAAAACCGGGCACTCAATCTCACGAGTTCCACATTCAGCGCCAAGAAATGTCAAAAGTCAAATAAGTCTGGCAAGAATTCAAAGCAGACACGCATTGAGCGGGAGGAAATAATTGAGCAAGGTATGGATGACCAACATGGAGCCTTTGACTATCAAGCCCCAATGGATATCTCGGACGATGGTGTCATTTTTGAACAGGTAAATATATTCATTCACTTGAAAGATGACTAACTTCGGTACTGATGTTACCAGCTGGAAGATATTGCAGGTCCATCAAACATACTCTCACCCTCACCTCCTCCCCCAGTCACTTCAAAGCGCTCTGGACGCACAGTGCGCATGCCTCAGCGCTTTATCGACTACCTTCCAGGATCAGCTACGCACCTTGCTCATATGCCTCCCACTAACCGGCAGCAACGCGGCCGTGTTCTGGCAGATCAATCCGATCATGATCGAGCACCATCTCCATCTCCAGCCCCTACTTCTGATCCAGAAGATCCCCGCCCTGCGCCCATCCCATTCCAGACTGAACCCGATGCAATGGGACTTTACTGCGTGTACCCAACGCATCCCACTTTAGCTCCTGAGGGTAACTTAACCTTAGAGAGAGTTACGGATGCCCCAACCCTGGACAATGGGCAAGGTGCAGCTCACGGAGTGCACCCTGGTCTCTCCACGCCCGAAATTAGTGCTCAGCACTTGTTTGATGGGTTCTCAAACCACACCTCTAGAGTCCTGATGGTGTGGCATTACTCTGGGACCAATAGCAATACAGGGGCCAATGTCAATCGTCTTGCAGACTACCTTAGTTCAGATCCTCGTTGCTCCCTTGCGCACCTGAGTGGATTTAATTTCACGCGCGAAATGAAGCTGTTGGACAAGTACATTGAAGATAAGTCTAACCCCTTTCGAGAAGAATATGGATGTCGCCGATCTACTGTCAAGATCCGGTTACCAAATGAGAAGACGAAGTTTCCATCAGAAGCTGATGCTCCTGAACTTGAGATCCCAGGTGTTCATCATCGTTCTTTGACTGACATCATCACACACCTGTTTGAAAGTGATGTCTCGCAGTCATTCAATATGACACCATTCGAACAGTTCTGGACCACGCCTGATGATCATACGATCAAAGTTTTCTTGGAGGCATATGCATCCCCTGCACTGATGGAAGCTTACACAGAAGTCAATGCACTCCCTCATGACCCTGAAGATGACCTTGAGCGTGTCGTTGCCTTGCTCATGGTGTGGTCAGATGCTACGCACCTGGCAAACTTTGGAGACGCCTCCCTCTGGCCATTTTACGTTTTTTTTTGGGAATCAGTCCAAGTATACACGAGGCAAGCCGACAGCCCGTGCTTCACATCATTTGGCATATATTCCAACAGTATGTATCACTCATTTTCATTAATATCGGTATCTTACTATGTTTACTTCAGCTTCCAAATAATCTACAAGAAATCTACATGGATATCTTTGGCGAGGCTACATCGAGCGATGTTCATACACATCTGAAACGCGAGTTGATGCAAGCGATATGGCAATTACTTCTGGATGGTAAGTTTATGGAAGCATACAAACATGGAATTGTGATCCGGTGCTCTGATGGGATCACACGAAGAGTATTTCCACGATTCTTTTCATATTCGGCGGACTATCCTGAGAAGTAAGTACACGTTTCATTTTACATGTGATTGGACATGAGGCATTAACATGTTTTGCACTGCGCAGAGTTCTACTTGCTACTATAAAGTTTCTTGGAGGGTGCCTCTGTCGATGCTGCCTGGTCAAGAAGGCAGATGTCCACAAGATGGGCATGAAACTTGACATGAAGCATCGCGTGACTAACAGATGCATTGATGACTTCCGACGACGGCGCAGTGTTGAAGAAGCCCATGTTTTGATTTTTCGACTCGGAGTCCCTGTGAGTGGGAGCTGTGTCAAAGCAATTCTTGATGAAGCTTTGTATGTTCCAATTTGTGTAAGCAACTCTACATATTCTATGTTTCTTTCACTAATACATGGGTTCAGTCTGCATTGTCTGAGAGACTTGCAGAATACGGATTGAACATGTTCGATATGTTCCTCGTTGACCAGCTTCACGAGTTTGAGCTTGGCGCATGGAAGGCCAAATTCACTCATTTGATGCGGATACTTCACGCAGCTGGAGGGAATGCGATTCCAGATCTCAACAAACGGTAGTTTTATTTTGCGTATCAGTTGTCTTGCAAGCTCACAGTGATTTCATACTAGATACCGAAAAGTACCAACATTTGGCAGGGGAACTATTCGTCGCTTCCACAACAACGCCTCTGCCATGAAAAAACTTGCAGCCCACAACTTCGAGGACCTATTACAAGTAAGTCAACTTTAATGATCATTGTTTATTTATTTTTAACTTCTCCAGTGCGCTATTCCCGTCTTCGAGAAGCTATTGCCGGACGACCATAATAAGATCATGCTTGACCTTCTATTTGATCTCTCTGTTTGGCATGCATATGCCAAACTTCGAATGCACACAGAAGACACGCTCACATTGTTTGATACTGCAACCACGGTCTTAGGCCAATCTGTCTGAAAATTCTTCAAGACTACATGTAGCTACTACCATACAACAGAACTCCCTCATGAGTATGCGGCACAAGGACGTCGAGAGGCTGCATTAGCAGCCAAACAACCTTCATCTTCAGGTAAAGGGAAGCAGAAGTCCGGTCCCAAGTTCAAGGCCCTCAATTTGTCAACTTATAAGTTCCATGCTCTCAGACATTATCCTAACACAATTCGACGTTTCGGTACTACAGACAGTTTTTCCACACAGCCAGTAAGTTTATCTCAAATTGAACTGTCGACTATCTGACATCCTATTTTTAGGGAGAACTCGAACACCGGCGAGCCAAGCGCTGGTATCCTAGGACAGCCAAGAACAAGACAACCATGGTCACTACAATGACCCACCTTGAAGCCCGTGAACGGGTCATTGCACGGATTAACCAACGACGCGAGGAGCTACTCAAGGCACCCAGCATACCACGCGAACGGACATCACCTGCTGCACACTATCACATTTCGAAATATCCTAAAGCATCATATGATATGACTGCATGGCTCAGCGACCTGATAGAAGACCCTGCAGTTAAGGTAAGTAGTTCATTGTATTTTTAGATCTGTTGATAGTGAACACAATGTCATAGGACTTCATTCCGAGAATGAAGAACCATCTATTAGCAAGATTGCGCGGTCTCGAGTACTCTGGAGATGAACATGAATTCTCCGACGAGGACAGAAGCCAGGTCATTCTTGCCAACAATCAACTCTACGAACACAGTATCCTGCGCATCAACTATACTACATACGACCTTCACCGAGAGCAAGATTCAATCAACCCAAGAACTCATGCTGACATCATGATGTTGTCACATGAGACTGATGAGGACTGACACCCCTATTGGTACGCCCGCATTATCAAAATATTCCATGTCAATGTGTGGGACTACGGTCCAGGTGTTTCCCAAGTTGCACCTACTCGCATGCATGTGTTATTTGTGCGTTGGTTTGGGCGAGATGTTCCCTTCAAAGCTGGATGGTCTGCCAAACGACTCCATCGCATTGGATTTTTTAGTCGAGACGATCCTGACAGCTTCGGTTTCGTTGATCCTGATCAAGTGATCCGGGGAGTTCATTTAATTCCCGGATTTGCATATGGATGAACTGACACTCGACTCGGACCTTCATTTGTCCGTCCACCCAAAGACAAGGACACGGACTTCATGTATTTTTATGTGAATCAGTATGTATTGTCTTCACTACTCTATGCTACTACTAATAAATGCTAATTTTCTCTTTAGTTTCGTAGATCGGGACATGTTCATGCGTTTCTGAGGAGGTGGGGTGGGCCACAGGATGTCGAAAGAGCTGTATGAACATCTGCGGAGTGATGGCGCTGTGGAGAATGCCGACGAGATCGAAGAAGTTAATTTCGGAGAGTCGGATCAACCTTGGGGAAGTGAGGAAGAGATTGATGAGGAAGACGAGAACAGCAAGGGCAGTGAGGATGAAGACCATGCCAATGATGAGCCGGAAGATATGATTGTAGCTGATGACGATGAGGAGCTTGATGATGACTTTCTCGAACAGGAGGGGTATGGTGCATTATGATTTCTGGTCCAGTCCTTTGTATCTTAGTGAATATCAGGCAATATCATATTTAGTTTTGATTATCATATTGATATACAACTGGTAAGAGTATCTATACATACAACAATCGAGAGTTGTGCCGGTGTCAGGTTGGACATGATACCAGGAACACCTGCACAGACACCTCTTGATTCGGACTTGG